ACATCTACAAATTTTAAATGAGCACTGCAAAATTATGGCATCCTAAAACAGAAAAGTTTTGCTAGTTTGAGCAAAAAGAAAAGGCATTTTTTTCAGGTCAGATTGGCAGTGACTTTGGGTTTTTTTGCCTTCCCTGTAGCATGTGGGTGTGAGTTAGTTGCCCAGATTGTCTGGGTATATCTCACTTAATAATTTCCCTACTATTGTGGGGGCCTTGAGCACTGGTGCACCTCGGTTCTTCCACCTCTCTGCCTGTGGCACATAATAGTCTAGTCTCCTCTGGGCTGTCATACTTCAGTCTAATTTTGGTTGTTGGGTTTAGTGCACAGATTCTGGATGGTGTTGGTGGTCTGTGATATATAGGAGGTCAGACTCGGGACCACTAGATCATCTTCCAGTTTTAAATTCTATGACTCTACGAGAATTATTTTTCAAGGCTCTGCGTGGGCACACACTTATGCACATGAGTAATTTTATACAAATCAGTAGTACCACTGAATAACTGCTTACGTGTTTTCAGGATCTGGGTCAAATATTTTAATTATAATCCTGAACGAAAGTCCACTGAAGTCAGTTATCTTTCTATTGCCTTCAGTGAGGGTTGGATCAGGCCGTGTGTTAAGATAGGGGTTTCTTTTTAAATTATTCAGAGCTAATATAATCCCTTCTTCCAAAGTGTAAACAAGAAGCATAAAGCCCAGCAGATGTTTCCATCCTAGTATTGTGTAAAATGCTGTATTTTTTTTTCCGTTGCCTCAGAGTTCTTCAACTAGATTAATAGCTAATACCAGGGGGTTACACACACAATATGTTCTCCTCAATGTGTGCTACTCTCACTAATATTTAAGGCTTATCTACTTACAAATAGAACAGAGTGCATAGCTATTATCATAAATGCCAATTGGCTTGCTCTGTAACATTCTGGTTTAGTTTTCTAAACGCTTTTAAAAACATTTTAAACTGTTTCCCCGATTCAAAGGCTTTTGGTTGACCACTAAAATCAATAATCCCATCATTTACCTTCTCTGTTTTTTTGCCCTTTTTACAAACAGTAACCTATTGTTCCTTCCACTGTAAATGCCTAACACTCTGGATTGTGAGTAAGCTCACTGCAGAAGATAAGACAGTTTGTTTGGCCACTTAGGATTTCATTGTCTACACAACTTAGAGTCGATTGTATCTATCTCCTCTTCTACATCACACAAACATATATACATCTCTACCTCAATATAACGCTGTCCTCGGGAGCCAAGAAATCTTACCGCATTATAGGTGAAACCGCATTATATCGAACTTGCTTTGATCCACCGGAGTGCGCAGCCCCGCCCCCTCCCCCCGAGCACTGCTTTACCGCATTATATCAGAATTCGTGTTATATCGGGTCACGTTATATCGGGGTAGAGGTGTACGTACGTACATAAATGCCAGTTAATTTCTTAATGTATGTTACAAGACAGAGTTCTGTACTCACCAGATTGTGAATCACATTTGTTAAGGTCCATGCAACAGGAACACTGAAGAAGGGAATGCTGAGCAAAACAATATGAAGCATACCAACTCCAAGTGCATATGTCAGCCACATTCCACGACTGTTCATCACCCTGGTGTTTGGATTTACCTCACTATGGGCAACTCCTACGTTCATTTTGTTCTATAAAAATAAAATTGTATGAAGACTGATATCACAGGATTCATATATTAGAGATATTCAGTATATCCCACATCTAATTTTAAGACCAGGAGAGAGACTATTCTTATAAATAATCTATAATGGGGTAACATTGCTAGGAAGAGCATGTGTATTGGGGGTAGAACACAGGACTTTGAAGTCAAGAGTTCTGTCTTCTGACATTGACTCATAGTTTGATCTTGAATATCTATACAACAATATTTGAGGATTGCCATTCTGAAGCCTAGAATGTCCAAAGTGTCAGTATGTAGTGATAGAAACAGTTACAACCGTGGTTGAAGTTCATAATATTCCCAGGTTGAGTCATCGCTGGGATTCATGGTCTGTTACTGTCCAATTCTTAAGTTCTCACCCATTTTAACTTTACGAATTACACCTATGTGGTGTACAGCTACAGTATGACTTGTATGTATGTTATGCCAAGTGCCTAGAGACCATTGTTACATCATAGGTAATTCAACCGGTCACCACCCTTACTGTACAGAAAATGTGCATGTGACAATTTCATTAGGTTGTATGAGGGAGACTGCACGCATAGTGGAATATTTGTACCAACTGCAACACCTGTGCGTCCAACTGCCACCCACACAAATCAACACATATCTTCCAGCACCAACACAATCACCCGACACATGCAGCACAAACCCCTCATTCTCCACCCGCACAAATCTATACAACTCTCCCAGTGCAACATAACCCACACACAAATTCAACACAATCATCCACACCACACCCCCAAACATCACTCTGAAGACTACAATGCCAGTTGAATCAGTGTGAAGTGATGGAAATAGTCTAAACAAAAAGACCTCTCAGCCACGTTTGTAGCTATCACCAGGTTCAATTACCACCGGGATTTGCAATTTGTTACTTAAAAAAACAAAACAAAAAACACCCAACCATGACTTCATGATTCAGATACTACAGTAACTCAAGCATTCTGTACCTCAGTTTTCCTAACTGACAGGGTTTTGTTTGGCTTAATGTTTGCAAAGTGATTTGAGATCTCTAAGTGAAAAGTCCTTCACAATCATTTTAATATTTAAGTTTTAATTATTTGCCTGTGAGGCACCTGAGGTGGAGCAGATAGTATTTACTGGAGAAGTCCCTGCCCTCCTCTGCCTAACACCATTGGTCCTGGGTACTAAAATGACTTCTTCCATTTTTAGCCACCACTTGTTAAAAAAAATGCTTCCCGGTTCATGCTGTCATGGCCTGTAAGGCTAGAACTACTTCTATTAATTTCCTAGAAAAATATATTTCTTTCCGCCTAAAACAAGCCAACCAAAGTTATCAGCCTAGCAAGATTAGATAGATAGATAGATCTTGCAAACCACAGATTCATCTGGGATGATGCTGTTTGCAGTGAGTTCTTACACAAACCTATTTCCAAATCTGCACATGCAAATGATGAATTATAACGCTCAAATCAGAAACACTCTCTGCCTACAAATGTGGTAGTGGTCCCCACCATCAACAACACAGTTTAAAAGGAGAATCTAGATTGTTCTAGTACTGTATATAAATTGTAGAAATCACCCAGGTCTTTGCCTCTGCAATGTCTTCTTATTTCATCGGCTTGATAAGAGACTCTCTCTCTCACCCACAAAGATGAGTTCTGGTATACCACATTCTGGTATACCTCCTGGTTCTGGCCAGAATACAAGCCATATTTTGGCACATTGAAACTTTTTAAGAGGAATGAAACACAATGGATGAACTATTAATTGATATAAAATTATATAACTTTTCATCTCAATGCACTTTAAAGTTCTACATGCCGCACCACAGAAAGGCAGCCACCTCTAGAGTGGAAGGCAGCAGCCAAATGGCATTCAGCACATTTCAGAAAAAGGTGTATGAGATGCGCATATGAGAGGTGACCATCGTTGGGGAACTGAGGGGAAAGAGGATATATTAGGCAGTGAGAATAGTGCAATCCGTACTCTTATGAAAAGCCTCATATGTTTTTCATTGTCAATGCAAGCTGGTGAGAGCTCAGTTCTAAGATGTCAGATGAAAGACACATACAGTAAACTTGAATTCCATGCAGTTTACTGTCTCAGAATGAAAAAGGAATTAGTTGGTCCTCTGATTTCAGGGAGTCTAGGTGCCATCCCCTCAGTCTGACAAGTAGGACTATAGTTCCTTTTCTTTTACAGATGGCCCCTGACCAAGAGACCTCCTAGTCAAACTCCAATTGTTAGTTCTATTTTCAGAGTATATTTAAGGTAAATTGTGTTTCTAATCCACAAGCTGATGCTGCTTCTCCCATGTTGGGTGCTGAGGCTGGGCAGGGATAAATGGGGCAGAAGTGATTTAGTGCTACTGACTTTTTTTTTAAACCCTGTTTGGTACCATGCTGCAGTAAGGGCTTTTCCAAGCTAGCTAGAGCCTTAGAGAACAGTACAGCACAACTGTAAAACAGAAACTTCACATTAAGATCTGATTAATGAAAAACCAGTTACAGAATGTTTAAAAGCAAAACAATTCCCACCCTCCTTAAGAAAGGGATAGATAATAAGACAGAAAATATCATATTGCCTCTATATAAATCCATGGTATGCCCACATCTTGAATACTGCGTGCAGATGGTCACCCCATCTCAAAAAAGATATATGGGACTTGGAAAAGGTTCAGAAAAGGGCAACAAAAATTATTAGGGTGTGGAACGGCTGCCATATGAGGAGAGAGAAATAAAACTGGGACTTTTCAGCTTGGAAAAGAGACAACTAAGGGGGGATATGATAGAGGTCTATAAAATCATGACTGGTGTGGAGAAAGTAAATAAGGAAGTGTTATTTACTCCTTCTCATAACACAAGAACTAGAGGTCACCAAATGAAATTAATAGGCAGCAGGCTTAAAACAAACGAAAGGACATATTTTTTTCACACAACACACAGTCAACCTGTGGAACTCCTTGCCAGAGGATGTTGTGAAGGCCAAGACTATAACAGGCTTCAAAAAAGAACTAGATAAATTCATGGAGGATAGGTCCATCAATGGCTATTAGCGAGGATGGGCAGGGATGGTGTCCCTAGCCTCTGTTTGCCAAAAGCTGGGAATGGGTGACAAGGGATGCATCACTTGATGATAACCTGTTCTGTTCATTCCCTCTAGGGCACCTGGCATTGGCCACTGTCAGAAGACAGGATACTGGGCTAGATGGACCTTTGGTCTGACCCAGTATGGCCGTTCTTATGTTCTCTTCACATATGCTTCACATATAGTGGCCACTGCTACAGTTAATCTGTTTGAAAAGCCATTTACCAAGTTAAGTGTTGCGCTATTGTTTTTGCCCCTTCTAGCTTCATCGTCACACACAATTTACCAAAGAGAGATCGGATTCTGATGTCACACCTGCCTGAATCCAGAGCAAACCCAGTGAAGCCAATGGAATTAACTCCAGATACAGTCTTCAGGGTAACAGAGATTAGAATCTGGCCCACGGAATTTTAAAACGTTTCAGAAAACAGTGAGTGTCCCCTGACCTGTAAAATGCTTTAGTTCTTGACTACGTGAATACAGAGTTTTTAAGGCAGGATCCAATCGTTGAAAGGAGGGATATCTATCCTTCCATCATATGTTAGCAATGAGTTCCCTGTTAAAACAAGAGGCCATCTACTCTATAGCCCAACTGAGAGGCAGATACGGGTACAACCTTTTACCCCCTCCCCAAAAATCCCCAACGTATCATGCATCGTCGCTATTTTGCTGATTGCGGCATGGAAGATTACACACACTCTCTACAAAGCAGCTTCACTCACAGACAATAGCCACTCTAGATCCTGACTCTAGCTACCTGCATTCAGTGTGAATCTGAAAACTTCACCTTCGTTTCCTTTTCTGGTCCATCGTGGCCAATCTGACATACAATCAGGGCAAAGGCACACCTCAAAGCCCGCAAGCAAGCTAGATCCATTTGCTGCAGGGCAGAGATTTTGCCGCAGGGCAGAAATCCCATGCACTGAAAGGTAGGAGCCTTTATAGAAAAACAGGGGTAGGCCCCTATCCAAGCCCCAGTGCAAGAGGTTGTGTGTGTGCAGGGGCCTGCTGCTGCTTTGTTACCGGCGGTGCAACTCTCTTTGTGGGGCCCTTTGGATCTAGGTTGTACACAAACCACCTCGCACAACTACGGCAGCCCCCTTTCCCCTGGGCACAACCCTCCTCCCCGCTACTCCGGCCGATCCACAGCAAGGGGGACCTACCGCCTGGGCTTGCCTCCCCTCCGCGGCGCCGAACTGATCGCCCCGCTGCCGAGCTCGCCTCTCCCAACCAGCTCTCCGGCGGGTTCCCCGCTGCGGAGCGCGGCGCTGCTGCCGTACACGCCAGCCGCCCAGTGGTGCAAGCTGGGGGAGGCGGGGCCAGCAGCGAGGCGGGGCCACCGCTCCGCCCTGGGGCCTTACGAGCTCCGCGCTGCAGAGCGCTCCGGAGCCGGGACGCGGGAGCTGGGCACGGCGGGAGCAGCAGGTAATGGAGCGGCGCTAGCTTGCAGGCGCTGATGGGCGGCACTGGGTTGCTCTTTGGGCCGGAAGGCGGCTCTAGCGCAGCACGTGCAGCAGTGTTTTGTCTGGGGTCGCTGTTTGCCTCCGCCAGGCCACAGGTAACAGCGGGAAGGGAAGAGACAAGTGCCTTGGCCTGGCCCCGGCGGAAAGGCCGGGGGCGAGACTTTAGGAGCCTGATGTTCAGAAACGCCGAGCAGCCTCAGCCTCTGCCGAGTGTAGTGGGAGTTGTGGGTCTTCCCTCAGCTCCTCTGGAATCGAGGCCTGAGGTGAACAACTGGGTGGTGCTGTCACATACCTCAGCAAGGCCCAGGAGGTGGCGAGGAGAGCACAGGCTGAGGGGGGCACGTTTCATTTACTAGTGCAGGGAGTTTAAAATGACATTGGATTGTTAGCTTCACTGGTATTTGCTGTCACTTCATTTGTGTAGTTCCACATTTTGATGTGAATAACGTACCACAGTACAAGTGAAATGATACTAAATTGTGAGAGAAGCAGGTAAATGTGGGTTTAAAAGAGGGGAGGGGAAGAGTTTAAAAGAGGGGGAGGGGAGGGAGGTGGTAGACAATGCAGTAAACAGAGGTTTTTCAGGGTCAGTCTAAGACCAAGAACTAAGGACCATCACAAACCTTCACCGATTTTTTTCTCCAAGTAATAGGTGCACTTCTTTGACCTGCCTTCTCTAACAAACACATAGCAGCATCTATATTTGAAAAACACACTACTGGAAGGCACTCAGACACTATGGTGATGGGTGAGGTATAATAATCTATATAGAATAGAACAGGCTAGGGACTTGAGAGAGGCCTGTGTGTATGGTTAGTTTTTGCAACAGTTTTTCCAAAGCATGAAGTTTTCATGGCTGTAGTGATTATCTTAGAAGTAGATATACACTGTATTATCAGCTAATGGGGGTAACAACTCCTTTCCCCTTCCCCATACACATACTGTTAAAGTAACATTATGGTTGAAATTTTCACGTGCCAAATCCAGAGATTCAAATTTATGACCCTCACAACAATTGTGATTCAACCAGTTTCCACATATGCCCTGCTTTGGTTGAGTGTGTATGGCAGGGGCAGGCAACCTATGGCATGCATGCTGATTTTCAGTGGCACTCACACTGCCCGGGTCCTGGCCACTGATCCGGGGGGCTCTGCATTTTAATTTAATTTTAAATGAAGCTTCTTAAACATTTTAAAAACCTTATTTACTTTTACATACAACAGTAGTTTAGTTACATATTATAGATGTATAAAAAGAAACCTTCTAAAAACGTTAAAATGTATTACTAGCACACGAAACCTTAAATTAGAGTGAATAAATGAAGGCTCGGCACACCACTTCTGAAAGATTGCCGATCCCTCGTGTATGATTTAACCACCAGAGTCCAGCTCTGCCACCTTTTGATCTTTGCCCTTGTCCTATGAGATAAATTATCTTGTCTTTTTTATTTAAAGACTGACTACTCTTAATGAACAGGCAGAAGGATGCCCAGCTTGAAGGGAGGTCTCTGTGACTGATACATAAAGACCAGTCCTCTTTCCACAGCCTAGTCCAAATGCCTTTTTCTCTATAAGGGCATTGGTGTGGAGGAAAGAAATCCTCCATCTAGGGCAGAGGTGGCAAACTACGGCCCGCGGGACCCTCCTGCCCGGCCCCTGAGCTCCTGGCCCGCCCCCCGGTCCCTCCCCTGCTGTTCCCCCTCCCCCGCAACCTCAGCTCGCTCCGCCACCGGCGCAATGCTCTGGGCAGCGGGGCTGTGAGCTCCTGGGGTAGTGCAACTGCAGAGCCCAGCCTGACTTGATGCTCTGTGCTGTGCGGTGGGGTGGCTGGCTCCAGTCAGGCAGCATGGCTGCCTGTCCTGGTGCTCTGGGAGGCACGACTGTAGTGCCTCCAGCCACCGGTGCTCCAGGCACGGTAAGGGGGCAGGGAGCAGGGGGGGTTGGATAGAAGGCAGGGGAGTTCGGGTGGTAGTCAGGGGTGTGTGTGGACAGGGGTCAGGGCGGTCAGAGGGTGGGGGAACGGGGTTGAATGGGGGCAGTCAGGAAGGGGGGGTTGGATGGGGCGGTGGGGGGCAGTCAGGGGCAGGGGTTCCGGGGATGGTCAGGGAGAAGGGGTGGTTGGATGGGGCAGTCAAGGCAGGGGTTCCGGGGGCTGTCAGGGGACAGGGAACGGTGGGTTGGATGGGGACAGGAGTCCCAGGGGGGCTGTCAGGGAGCGAGAAGCAGGAGGGTCGGATAGGGGGCAGGGCCGGACCACACCTGGCTGTTTGGGGAGGCACAGCCTCTGCTAGCCAGCCCTCCATACAATTTTGGAAACCCTCAGGCCAAAAAGTTTGCCCGCCCCTGATCTAGGGGCTCAGAGCCGCATCAGAACTGCTCCCATGTCCTTATGGAGCAGTCTGTGTAGCCGCCCTCCTTCCTCCTCTCTTCCTCTGAAGTCAGCTTCAGGTAGGTCATGTGGAGCTGGACTCCATGGTGTGCAGGCAGTGTGCACCCTATGTTAGATTGTGAGTTTTATCACTATCCTATGGAGTATCCTCTGCATAGAGTCATCTGCTCTCACAGAGGAAGGGGGCAAGATGTGGGGCTGTTGTGCATGAATAGCTATGGCTGAGATCTCTTCTATAGCTCCACCGCTGCTTCTGTCAACGTATACTGTCCCCAGAACTTAGTGCCGGTGATACTCGCGGTCATTCAGCAAGCTGAAGTTGGGATTTTTTGTTTTGTTTTTACACAATCAGCCATGCTAATCTCAATTTAAAACACAGTGGGGAAATATCAATATTTGCCAACTGATGAAGGATAAACTTGGCAGAGGAAATGCTCAAGCGTCTGAGAGGACACTGTAAAATCAGTAGTTAAAAATTATTTGGAATACTTATTGAAATTCTCTGACACTGTCCTTTTTAAAGACAAAGCCTATAATATTATAGTTTGCATGTATATAACAACTTAAATCTTTAAAGAACTGTATAAACATTAACTAATATCCACCTTATTGCCCCAGTTCTGCAGTTATGCATTTACTTTACATGTGAGTATAATTAGCTTCAAGGTGTGTAACGGTAAATACATGCATAAGCGTTTGCAGGATCAGGATGTTAGATTGTGAACACTTCAGTGCAGGGAATATGTCTTTATCTTTATTTGTAAACCACCATGTATGTTTTATGGCAGTATGTAAGTGTTTTATAAGTAATAATAGCACCCCTTTGTGGCAGGTATGGTAAGTATTATTCCCATTTTACTGATAAGGGATATTGAGAGACAGAGAAATTAATGACCTGCTTGAGGCACATGGTGAGTCTATAGAAGAGTCAGGATTAGAGTTTTGGAGTCCTTGGCTTCTATTCTCATGCTTCTGCCCTAGTCCACACTATCACTGAATATGACCATTTCTAACAGACCAAAACCCAACCCTCTGTGGGCCATATTCTGCTCTTAGATTGTACATAACTCCAGTTAAGTCAATATGTGTTACACCGGCATATCTGAGCACAGAATTTGGCTCAGTAATTTTAGGTAGATTTTAAAAAGCCTGATCTCAGAAGGGTTAGAAAAAAGAGGGGTTTGTGACTTTCAGATTTTGGCACCAGTTCTGGGCTCCTCATGGGCAAGAGGGGTCCACCTATACAGACCTGATTGCAGGATCAGGACCATATACTGTAATCATTTAGTCAAGGAACATGTAAGTGCTCACATTAGTATTGAACAGAAAACAAATGTACCTGAAAAGATAACCATGGGACTATGTACTGTTTTGCCCATTGCTTAGTATTACTCTGAATCCTTGCATTGTCTAACGTAGAAGTTCTCTACTGTCAAACTAATGTTTTCTGATATAGGGCCTGACCCTACACAAGATCTCTCCTTGTGAATATATAGTTGGTACTCAGAGTAGCAGCCGTGTTAGTCTGTATCCGCAAAAAGAACAGGAATACTTGTGGCACCTTAGAGACTAACAAATTTGTTAGTCTCTAAGGTGCCACAAGTACTCCTGTTCTTTTTATAGTTGGTACTGTTTCCCTAATTGCATGATTCACCTAACTAAATGTAGTCATACTGATAATTGAAAAGTGATTGAATAGAAATGTCATCATGTTTGTAATACAGTCTTTAAATTCTTGTTCTATCATCTCTTTCCATCCAGCTCCCCTGATTCTAAAAGCCCAGGGATGAAGCAGTTGCCAGCAGAAACTGTCCGTCTCCTTTCAAGTTCTCAAGTGATCACATCAGTTGTCAGTGTAGTGAAGGAGCTGATAGAGAATTCCTTGGATGCCAATGCCACAAGTATTGATATTAAACTGGTAAGTCTTCCCTGGTACTAAGTTAGACTTAAGATGGAAAACTGGATGGTAATATACTGGGGAAATTTCTCCTGTGTTATGTAAGGGTGTAAAAGTCTCCTTTTAAAAATATATATATTTTTATATAGTTTATAAATGTGCATATTTTAATGCTAAAGTTAATGGGCAAAATTCTGCCAGGAGTTACATCTGTGCATCCCATTTAAAGTCACTGGGCATGTAGGGGTGTAACTGAGGACATAATTTGGGCCAATGAGCAGACCTAATGACTCATTGTAAACTTGCTTTAACATATCTGTCTTTATAAAAACACCAGAAATGACTCTGACTGAACAGTTGCTTGTTTAGAGATTGTTGGCCATACTAGTTTAGTTTTCACAGTTATGGGGACAAATGTGCAAACACCTATACCCCGTTCTTGCAAAGAAAACCACCTGTGGATCTCCATGCCCATTTAGAGCCCCACTGAAGTCAATGGAATTTTACACAGTTGTCACATTTCACATCTGATTAATAGTTTGCAATCTTGGCATGCAGTAGAAAAACAAGTATGAAAAATGTTGTCACTGGCCATGTCAAAGGCTGTTTTTCAGGCTTTTGTCACAAGAACATTTAACTTTTTATTTTTTCAAAGTCTTCAGATGGTACTAGTCAGAACAATGTATTAGTACCTTTTTATAATATTTTTTAACAGGATATTTTAAAAGTTAGCATGTTACCTAGAAGAAAACAATGCTTTCTTTCCCAGACAAAAAAACTTGGCAAATAAATCAGTTTCTCTTGATGCAGTAAATTTTTCTATTCTTGAAATATTTCAGCTAATGAAAAATAACACGATTTCTTTGCTAAGTACAAAATATCACTGATTCGTGTTCTAAGAACTGGTTTGTTCACCATGTAGAAAGCCCAGTGTCCTTTCCTAAAAAATATAGTAGCTATTTGAGTTATTCCCAAATTGTAAACTCAAATACCAAGTGGCAGATATGAGAGCCAAATAATTTCCACCAACTTCTTGGATTGCTTCCCCTAAACTACAAATATCACCATGTTATCTGAATGGGATTTCAAGCATCTCCTATCTGTGCTCCAGCCTCCCTCAAACACCGAACAAGGTGCTCATTTGCACTGTCTGCATCAATTGAGATGGAGACACAATATTTTCTTACGATCAGTTTATCGACGGTACTGTCGTCATTCATGCCTCCTGACTACTCATGTTTAGTAGTATCTTACTCCATTGGGAATGCTCATGGAGTACAATAGTATTTCACTTGTGAGTAAGTGTATCAGAATCTGGACGTGTTCAAAACTCATGGAGGCCCACAGAAAGTCAATAGGAATTTTCTGTGGTCATTGTATATGACCCCATCTCTAGTAGTGAAATCAAGTGTACTTCTAACAAGAGGGGTAAAATGAGGAACCCCACAGCAACAATAAGAAAGAGCCCTCTGGATCTCTCAGCTAGGAAAGAATAGACCCACTCAAGAACAAGCCCAGCCACTTCTGCATGTAAGCTCATGATCCATGGTGTTGAAGGCAGCTGATAGATATCAAACATCCATACTGGTATTATTATCATTACCAATTGCAAGGAGATCAAATAAAGCCACAAGGGCTATTTCTGTGTCATACCGTCATCTGTAATTAGTGTGACAAGGTTCAAGGAGATATGATATGTCTAGATACTGTACGAGTTCTCTTGCCAAAACCTACTTAATACTGATCTTAAGCAAAAGAGGAAGATTCAAAACTTCTTGATACTGAGCTAAATTGCCAACATCTTCTTGAGGGGAGGACAGGCTGACATCTGATTTTTAGGAAATTTGTATATAACTTTTGCTTAATAAACAATCTGTAGACAGTGGTAGTCTCCACCAGCAATTGACCCAATACACCTCTCCTTTGTCCCTACCCTCTCATGCTGTTTCTCACTAGCCACTGGCAAGCAACATGGGTCTGAATTTCAGGTTGTGGTTTGTAATTCATCCATTACCCCAGTACCCTCAGTGAGTCATAGGGGCTAAAACTTAAACAGAAAAAAACTAACTTTGTCACCTCAAGATATTGCTCTGCTACCATAGATGCAAACAGCTCAGCCCAAAGCCAAAGAAATTGTACTGCAAAATACCTAGTTTCTTTACAACGGGAAGCATTTGAATCAGCAATCCAGTGAAGATGCCCTAGATTAATCTGGATTTTAATAACTCAAAACAAATTTGCTGATCAAGATTTTGTGGAGGCTCTGGAGTGTCTTTGTACAGCCACACATTATAACACCATGGATTCTCATTATTTTGTTTGGATTTTGTGAAAAAAGAATACTTTATATTGACATACTATTTTTATTGGCCATAATTTAAATAAGATTGAAAACATAATGCATGTCCCCAATTACACTAACGCTGCATAGGTTCCAGAGTGCAGCAGAGAACATGAAACTTTTACAAAATTACTGTTCAATCCTTTCCTCTTCCAAAGAATATTAAAGGCCCACTTCCTCATTTATAGGAGTAATCCGTACAAAAGGAGTCCATTACCCTCCGCTCTGAAGAAAATTAATGGCATAGTACTGCAAACCTTGTTCATAGGAGTAATCTTTACTTGTTTCAAGGAGACTACTTTGTGTGAGTAAGGATTCCAGTGTAAGGAGGACTAGGTGGCTCAGGTGACAGATACAGTTTAACTCTGATTAACCAACATTTGGAAATGTCCTAAAATTTGTTTTTTTATGAGCTCTGACTTTTCTGAAATTCCATGTCCTACACTGATGGTGTTTGCCTGAAATATACCACCCTGTTAACGGGGTTGGTGCTGTTGGGAAAGCTGTGGGTGGGTTCTTCAGACTCACTGAGATAGATGGCTTGTTAGTACAACCAGATACAATGGAGGCGGGAATTGTCTAGGGCAGCATTTCTCAAATGCGGCCACCAGGGGGTTTTCCTGCACCCATGACAGCCTCCTGGCTAGAGATGGGGGAAGGGGCAAAGCCAAGGGACTCAGAGGATGGACTTCAGCCCCCTCTCCCCCGGCTCCAGCCATGGGGCTCCGGTTCTGGGCTTCAGTTCGGGGGCGCGGGGCTTCAGCAGGGCCAGTCTTACTAGGCGCCATGGTCAAGAGCAGTGGTCCCCAATGTGGTGCCCGTGGGTGCCATGGCGCCCACCAGGGCATCTATGTGCACCCGCGTACTGGCCGGCGGACGAGCATCCGCCAAAATGCCGCCGACAAGCAGCGTCATCCAGAGGCGTCGCCACCGATTTTCGGCGGCATTTCGTCAGTGACGCCTCTGGATAACGCTGCTTATCGGCATTTTGGCGGCGACGCCTATTGACGTTGCCGCTTCTCGGCGGCATTTCGGCGGATGCTCATCCGCTGGCCACTGTCAGCGGTGGCGCCAGACGAAAAAGGTTGGGGAGCACTGGTCAAGAAACAAGGAGTGGGGTGAGCCTGGGATGTGAGGCCATGGAAGTGAGCTGAGGGCAATGGGGGGAGGAAGTAGTGGGGCCTGTGGAGGTGATGGGGAGACTAGGGGAGTAGGTGAAGACAGCAGGGGTCAGGGGGGTCTGTGGAGGTCAGGGAAAGGCAGCAGGGCCAGGGGCACCAACATACAACTGTACATTATTATTGAGTCTGCAAAAAACTCCAACATAAATTTGGACATGTATATGTGCATATTTATTTGTTTTTCCTAAAGTTAATGAAGTATTTTAGGAAAATTTGTCAGAGCGTCCACCAGCAAGAGTTGCTAGCTGCTTTCTGAGGCCACCAAAAATTTTGTTGTGAGAACCCCTCTAGGGTGTGGATTGAACAGTCTCCTGACGTAAAAACCTTTAGCGTAACCAAGCCTGGCAAGAAAGCTTGAGTGACTGTTATTTTATTGTTAGTTTCTTGATTAATAAAGCTAAGCCCCAGGGAGTGGGGAATTAGTTTTTGACTACAATGTGTTCAGATTTTCTTTTACAGAAGGTTGGGAAAGGCATCTGCTCACACTGGAGTTCTGCATAAATTCCCAGAGCAATTTGGATAATCTGGTTTATGTCTATATTTCATTGCGAGATCACTGGTTGGAATTCAACCAAGGGAATTTCTGAAAGTTGCCACCTGATTTCTGTTTATTGACACAAAATGAGTTGATGGTATCAGTCCAGTTCCTAATGGACAAGTGTATACATCAGAGTTGGCTTCCTTGTTGGCTATCGCTGTCTCAGCAGCTAGCCCAGGATTCAATCTCTGCTACCCTCTTGATATGTTTGACCCAGGTCAGGTTTGAAGCATGTTAGTTCATTGGTGGGGCAGTGTTGGAAAGTTTACGTTGTCACTGCATGTGCTATACCTCTGAATAAAGAGAAGACATAGGCCATATCTACACTACCAATTTTGTCAGTAAAATTTACGTCGCTCAGGGGTGTGAAAAAAATACCCCCTGAGCAACGTAAGTTACACCACAGAAGCACCAGTGTGGACAGCGCTATGTCAACAGGAGAAGCTTCTTCCGCCGACATAGCTACCGCTGCTCGTGGAGGTGCTTTTCTTATGTCGATGAGAGAGCTCTCTCTTACAGTAGTGCAACTGCATCGATACAGTTGTGCCATTGTAAGCTCACTATTGTACACATGGCCTTAGTTTTCAGAGCTGTCTGTAGGTCACCTTTTTGAATAACATCTTAAAAATGAGAAAAAAGAAACAATTTTGCAATAATAATGGAAGTCTGACTTAAACCCACAAAGGAAAACACTATCATTAAAATAAAACTGTAATGTAAAATAAAAGATGAAGTAAAATGTTCTTGTGATTAGAGCCTGAAGATGGGACTTAGGAGATGTGGATTTTATTTGCGGCTCTGCTACTGATTTGCTGAATGACCTTGGACAAATCACCGAGGCCTCTCTTTACTTTATAGATGGACAAACTGAAGCAGTAGTATTAAAAGTTAGCTACTTCAGGAGGAGATTTAACAAATTAATGCTTGTGCAGCTCTTTGATGTCTTCTAATGAAGGTGGTATCGAACTATAAAGTAGTAGTATTATATTATTCTAATTACAAAGAAATGGAAACCAGGATACACAGGTTACGGTGTGTCAGATATAACAAAAAAGAATTAATGTAAATCAGACAGATAATGTTGCTCACAATGGGGAAGCATGAGAATGATACGGAATTACAGTTATAGTAAGGTAATGGCTGTCTTAAAAACTGTTTAATTTTAAAGTGATTAAGCCACCATTATTAAATTAGCCACATATATGTTTAAAGAGTAGCACTTGGATTAAAGCAACTTTGAAGCTTTGTCACTCTCTCTTTCCCATTCTTTCCAGTGGTGCATTGCATTTCCTGTTTCTCAGTTAGCATTGTAGTAGGAGATCCAGACTAACTGAATTATTGGCAAAAATATCAGTTCTCACTAGGAGAAAGCACCAGCACCATTCACCATATGGAAACAGCGATTCTGAAACCTGATGTGCCCATTTGTTTTTAGAGATATAATTATATAATAAGCTTAGTCTAATTCAGGGGTTCTTAAATTGTTCCTTAGTGCAGACATATCTCAATAAAGAGATTGTTTTTTGGACACCTTCCCTCCCATTTTAGGATTACATAACATCCCAGTGGCACTTATGGCAATTGTTGACATAGAAAAGTAGTGCTAGAAATGTCTTCAGTACATTTTAGCACCTGGAAACCAGGGGGAAAATCAGTACTGTTCAGCCAGTTAGCTTTCGCAGATCACAGGCAATTTTGTTCTGTGGACCACGTGGTCAGTATGGGAACTGCTGATCCAAGATATTGTAGCTTATCAGTGCTGATTTCTTTTAAAATTATCACACTAGTTTTAACTCACCCTGTTGTGCTGTGTACTGCAGCACATATTGTATGTTAGATCATAATCTGTTCAGAGAGCCATTCAATAAATGGGAGAAACAGGTTGATTTAGAATCCTGTAGTTCTGTGGTTGTGAATCTCCTTGCTTGTGGTTTGAGTAACCTGCATTATAACATTTGTTTTGATATATCCGAATTACAGTACAGCAAACAGCAAAACTTTATTACGCCCCTGAGTCACGTGGTTCCTCTCATTTAAGTGCCTTCTTTAATTTAGTCATCTTGATTTAGTTATTTATGATTTTAGACCTGCACCTTTTTAATATTAATTTTTGTTAGATATTAACATTTGTCATCTCAAAATTAAAATAGTGGAAAAACTTCTCCCAGCTAGAAAACTATATATAATGTATCAATAAGATGAATCATGATGTTCAGTCCTGTTTGTTTGAAGGGCCATCTGCCTTTTAGAGGGATAATTAACAAGTCTTTTGAATCTATCACAGTAGACTTGTTTGAGTGTATTTAAGGCATCATTTTGACAAAAAATTGTACAGCACGATCCACTGTTCATTCTTTAAAAAAAATTATTATTTTTTACATTAAAGGTAACCTACAAAGGGAAAAAAACATTTGCTTCTTTCTGATTTATAAAGAAAGCCTGAAATTTTAAGTCCCCACCCCCGCTCCTCTGGTCACTTACACAGAACACCAGGTTTGGTGTAAGATGGACTACTCTGTGATGACTGGAGAACTAGTGAAATGGTAATCTCATAAAAGCAAAGAGTGTGAAAGTTGAACAATGAGAGGAGTACGGATTTGTAGTCAGATTGTTGGTGTTTTGTTTTTATTAACAACAATTTAAATCCCATGATTAATGTTTTGAATAAAGCAAGCTTTTGTTCAAGATTCAACATCCTTGCCCCTTTCAATTAAGGTTGCCAGAGGTTATAGTAAATATCACAGATACCTCTCATAAGTCCTCCATTAAAAGCAGAGGGAGAGCTGGCTTCATATTCTTGACATCTCTAAGGTGAAGAAATGAGCAAAACAAAAACTTTCCTTTTTTTACTTTCCGTACCCTCCCACCCCAACATCCAGACCATCTCTATATCTCATAAAGAACCAAAAAAATACACAGATGTCATTTAAAAAAATCCTTGTAGGTCCTTCTTACAGATTTGGTAACATGGGTCCCAGTTACTTTAGTATGTGCAGAATCTAGCCTGTGATGATTAGATAAAGTGGAATACATTAACAAAACATGCATTTCCCTTTGTAAAAGGGAGGGAAGATGAAACAAGAATGAACCATCTTTAACATTCCAGCTACTGATCTTTTTCTCAGTTTATATTTTATAAAGTCATGAGCTAGATTTTGAAATACCTTTTAGTGTGTTAGCCCATACTGTAATAGTAGTGGTTCCTCAGAACTACATAGTTTAATACATTACTTGTTTTGGAACAGCATAAAATTACTTAACTGTTTCATTTTTGCTCTATACATGTTTCTATAGACAAGTTATGTGCACATATGTGCTGCAGTCTTCCCACATGGAAATGTCAGAATTTTGCCTATTTTGAGGACTAAAGGACTGGACCCTTAACTACTTCAATACATGTGGATTAACCATTGTATATAGTATCTAATTTTGCATTTGAGATGTATTTTTGTGATTGATGATATTATTACTCTTTTTAGGAAAATTATGGGTTTGATAAGATAGAGGTGCGAGACAATGGTGATGGCATCAAAGCTGCTGATGTTCCAGTTATGGCAGTTAAGCATTATACCTCAAAAATAAGCTGTCCTGAGGATCTTGAAAACTTGACAACCTATGGTTTTCGTGGTGAAGCCTTGGGATCAATTTGCTGCATATCTGAGGTGAGATGTGTCAGACTTTCTTGCTCTCTTAAACAATTACAAAATATAAATTCGAGGACTTACGGTTGTGCCCACAACCTCACAGTAGAATGCTGGCTTTTATTTTTAAATGTAGAATTTGGAAAGTTTGATCCCTCTCTGATGGTTCTTCCGCTCCAGTGAAGCCACAGAGCTGCAAAGCTTGCTCATTTTGAATTCACTTTGGGATCAGTCATTGACTCCTTATCAGATCAGTTTAGTAGTTGGTAGTGTTTCACTTTCTTCCCTCAATTGGGGAGGCAACTATTTGCACTTGCCCTGATCCTTTCCTTTGATTCCAATGTACTGAGGCTCTCCAGAATTCTCTCACTCATCATTCAATCTCGCTGTTCTTACATCAGTTGCCTTTAAATTATCAATGTGACCTGCAGTTGTGAGGCCTGCTTGGACTCCTCATTGTTCCTGGCTATTCAAATATCTATGGCTGCAAAAACACCCTGTTTCACCTTTAAATGGCCAGGAACCTACATTCTCACCTGATCACAATGATCCATGTATTTGTGGCCAGTACAACTGAGCACTGCAGAGCACTACTATCTAGGAATGAAACTGCTTACCACAAAAAAGCTCTGTTTTCAAAATATAACAACCAGTCTACTAAGCAGTTGAGAGCACATTGTCCAATTGCTCTTCTGTGCACTTTCTTTCCACCTGAATACTGAGTCAAGTTCAAGTTTTCCATCTCTACCTTCAAAAGTCTCTGTGGGATAGGCTCAAACTAGCCACAGGACGATCATGACCTCCCATGACAGTTACTTTTCACAGAAACAACGGACTATAAGAATGAGGGTTGAGTGTGGGAGTGTATGCGCCCATGGAGCCTTGGCCTTGATCACACTAGAAACTTAAGTTCAGAATTTGGATGGAAAATTCCCAAAGAAAGCCCAGATGCTTCAGAAAGTGCTGCTGTTTAGCTGGATTATGGTCCCCTTCTGAGTAGACACTGAACCAATGATCTAGCCTGGTGATGCGGGGCATTATGCTGCTGTAGGTGCTGTCTTTCAAATGAGATGTCAAACCAAGATGTCGTCTGCTTTGGGCATTAAAAAGCCCCATTGTACATTTCACAAGAGAGCAGAGTTGACACTAGTGTCTTAAGTACTGGTCTCAGCATCAGTAATTACATTACTTAAATACTAGTGATGTTTGTAATTGCAGTCTGCCTACCTAATTTGCTGCCTGTAGTTAACCATTAGCAATTATCTTTGAGAACTCATGGAGGACGTGTGAAGTCCCAGAGGACTGAAGAAGGGCAAACCTAAGTGGAAAAAGGAGGATCCAGGAATATAGGCCAGTCAGCCTAACTTCAATACGCCGAAAAATACTGGAACAAATTATTAAACGTAGAAGATAAGGTGATAAATCATAGCCAGCATGGATTTTTCAAGAACAGATCATGTGAAACCAATCTAATTTCCTCTTTTGACAGGGTAACCAACCTAATGAATGGGGGGAAGGAGGAGATGTGATATATCTAGACTTTGGTAAGGCTTTTGACATAGTCCCACATGACATTCTCATAAGCAAATAAGGGAAATATAGTCTAGATTAAATTACTATAAAGTGGGTGCATAACTGGTTGAAAGACTGTACTCAGAGTGGTTATCGATGATTTGCTATTAAGCTGGGAGGACATATCAAGTGGGGTCCCACAGAGGTTTGTTCTTTGTATGATTCTATTCAGAATTTTCACTAATGAGTTGGATGATGGAAAGTATGTTTATAAAATTTGTGGATGACACTGAGAGGGTTGCAAGATCTTTGAAGGACAGGATTAGAATTCCAAATTACCTCTATACATTGGCGAATTGGTCTTGAAAACAACAAGATGAAATTTATGTGCAAAATTTAGGAGGAAAAAGCAAATGCACAACTATGAAAAGGGGAATAAGTGGCTAGGCAGTAGTACTGCAGAAAAGGATTGGGGGGGGTGTATAATGAATGACAAATTGAACATGAGCCAACAATGTGATGCAGTTGTGAAAAAGGCAGATGTCCTTCTGGGATGTATGACCAGGAGTGTCACATGTAAGTGTGGTGGGGTACACCAGCCCCTCACTAAGCCAGAAAGGGTTAATGAGCTGCTATCAGCTTGCCCAGCCCTGGTCCACTACTCTTGCACTCTCTGTAAGGAAATGAATGGGCAGTTAAACTGGAAGAGAATAACTCAGTAGTGGGCTGATGAGAGCGGAGAACAGACCTCCCATCCTTTGCTCCCTGAGGAAAGGACTTACCTAGAACCTCTGTAGAGACCACAGACTGCCAGAGTCCTCCAGAGGAAGGTAGGCCTGGCACAAGAATGTGGAGTTTATTTTTAGGACTATTTCTTTGTTTTACTACAAGAAGGACTTTTGGACTATCTGTACTGTTTTGAACAGACGTGCAGGGCTTAAGGAGACTGTTGTGGGGAACCCCTGCCTAGGATGGTGTGGGGAACTACTTCAGTAAGGACTTTTGCACCCTACTCAAGTCTGCCCTGTAGTTTCTTTGACCCTGAAGAGCATGGTCACATATGGTGGAGAATGTGGGCGTGATCTAACCTTGCAGAAGCGGGAGATTTGAGTGACCTGGATTGTCAAGTATACCAAGGTGGGAAGCAGGAGTTTGTCTTGCCGGGGACAACATGTACCTGGAGTGATTGTTGAAATAGATGGCTGAGAACCAACAGCAACAGTTCCCGCAACAGATGACAGCCTAACAGCAGCAACTGGTCCATGAGCAAGGTGGTTAGGAGCAGGAGCAACAGTTGGTTCAACAAGTTGTGACCCCAGTGCAACAGTTTGGAGCCAGGGTGGGGAAGGGAATGGAGTATTCCTCTCTGGGGCTCATGGGAACAACAGCCGTGCTTGTGCAACTCACTAAGATGGGCCCAGAGGATGATCCAGAGGGCTTCCTTGTGACCTTCAAATGGGTGGCAATGGTGGTTTACAGAGCAGTGGAGGAGAGCAGCTGACCTGTAGTTCTGGAAGGTAAAGTATCTCCCAAAAGCCTCACCATGTGTGATTGCCCAGTAATTGAGGGAGCTATGCTGGAGGTGGCTGAAGCTGGAAACCTGGACCAGCGTTCAGATCACTGAACGTACATTGGTAGAACAGTTTGTGCAGATAAATAATAATTCATAATAATTAATGGAGATATCTCATCTCCTAGAACTGGAAGGGACCTTGAAAGGTCATCGAGTCCAGCCCCCTGCCTTCACTAGCAAGACCAAGTACTGATTTTGCCCCAGATCCCCAAGTGGCCCCCTCAAGGATTGAACTCACAACCCTGGGTTTAGTAGGCCAATGCTCAAACCACTGAGCTATCCCTGCCCCCCCGTTGCAGGAAGATATGGCATACTGAGGCACTGAGACAAGACACTCTCCGAGACAGTTCAGCTGATGAAGAATTATATGGCTTCTGAGACTTATAAGAATTATATGGCCTGAAGGGCACATAGGGTGAAGTAGCCTGTGGGTCAGAGGGGAGGCCTAACAGGCAGGATTAGCATCAGAGTGTCCAAACTTTGGGTGTGAACCAGCCACCCTTGAAAGGTCTTGGAAAGTTTCAGGGATCCTGACTGGGCTGGACAGGGAAACCTGGACAACATAGGTTCAAGCCCAGCCAAGAATCCTGGAGCTACCCATAGTCCCCCAGCTGAGATGATGTTCATGGAAGAAAAAACAGACTTTTATAAAATTATTTTTGTTCTTTTTTGTTAAAGTAACTTGATGCTGAGAATCATCTCAGAACATATCTCGTGTCTTCAGACCACTTTGAACTTTTGAAATCCTTGATTGACTTGAGGTTCTTTATTTCCAGGTTTCGATCACAACAAAGACAGCTGCTGATGATTTTAGCACCCAGTACATCTTGGATAGCAGTGGGCATGTAACTTCTCAGAAGCCTTCTCATCTTGGGCAAGGTAAGGTATGCTTATTGTGATGCTTTGTGTTTCTCCTTATAAGAACAATTGGTCAGATTTGGAAGTTTTTAGCCCCTATATCCTACTCTGATACCGACCCCTGCAGAAACCAAACTAAAGTAAAATACTTACAGGTGCCTCACTTCTAAATGATAATCTCTAAGTGCCATATCACCGCTTTCTTTGCAAAAACCAATAGAAGGGAAAACCTGGGGATTTGAGAAGATCTATAGGGTTCTGTGAGCTGAAAAGCAAATCAGTAGGGCTGGGAGGGTTGTAGTATAAAAAGAGGATAGAAGCACTTAGATACCACAGTGAAAAGAGAGTGCAAGACCTAAATAGAATAGAGGGTGCATGGCCTTCAGTGTCCACATAGACCAGTAAAATCCTTCTGTAGATGTCCCAGAACCGCCAGTCACTGGTAAAATGGTAGGCTCACATTCCATGTTGCCAGTGGCTTTCAACACAGCCATGGTATGGAGGTGGCAGTGCTTAAATTGTGCGGGGGCTTGCCAGGTGTTGAGGCCCGGCCCCTCTAGGTTTGGCAGTTCATAGCCCTGGCACCTCGGGCTTGCCATGTCAGTTATGAAAGTAGAAAAATTGCTTGAGCCCCGGCACCTCATTCATTACAAATTAAGCACTGAGAGGTGGTCTCTTCACTGTTGTGTTGCACAGTGAGAGCTCATGTTGACCTACTCAATATTAACTTGCCTATATATTTGTTATGAACATTATGGTAACAGGGAAAAACGTGTACTGTGCAGAGTGGCTGATATGACTCTGTGCCTCTGATTTTCATGAGGTGTTCAAATGGCATGTTTTCAGCATAGAGTGGTTGCCAGCTATGCAAGGGAGGAAGCGGGAGAGCGTGCTGCATAGCTGCTTTCCCTCTCTGCACAGCTTTGTGGTCTCATTTCCACACCAGTAGCATGTGTTTGCTCTCTTTTCTGCCATATAGCAGAGAGCAACAGATAGCATTCAATAAGAGGTAACATTCGGCACTAATTTCTGAGATGTCCACAAGAACTGAGTCAACAATTCATAAATCTCCATTTTAAAAAATGCTGTTTTGCAGTGAGAATTTCAGACTAAGGAGAATCATTAAGAAGTATAAGCCATAGAGGAGTAGTGTTGTCCCTTCCTCCAATACCAGTGCCCTGTTCTGACACCAACACTGCCAGTCTACCAAGCAATATCAGATATCCAGGGCCTTTCAAGTTGGCATCTTAGTGGTGGTGGGGGGAAATCTGTGACAAGGAGACTAACTATATGCTAAGTGTAGTTTGTTTTATTCATGCACATACACCCCTCTGGTAGCAGAAGTGGTCAAATGGTATTCAGGAACCTTAGCCCAACAGCAAATGACAGGCTCAGAGAGAGCAATTCTGCCTCAAGAACTGATTCTAATCTGAGACCCAGGCAGAGAGCAAACTCTGATTGCTCGCTCAGTTGTCTCTCCAACCACCACTGCCTCTACACACAGCTTTCTTGTAGCTCTTCATTGTTAGTCCTGCTGGGGCCAGAGTACTTGGCTGAGATGTGAGCAACTGTCTCTGTGTAATAATGACTGAAATGTAAAATCAGATTCTGATCTCTTATGCTGGTGTAAAACAGAGATTAGAGTCTGGTGCTTGGTTTTAAGAAGTGACTCAGTGAGATCTCAAACACCAGTTACCATCTTTAACTTTCCAGGTTCCTTTTTATATTCCTGTTGTTATGGCAGTTGTCACCAAGTGGTGCTGTTGCATATACCTAGTCTTCCAAGTGCTTTTTCTTTGCATGTGGGAAAATGTTCAGTCTTGTGAAGACATGCTGTGTTGTTAGTTCACAATGTATTGTGCATACTTGAACCAAAGATTTCCTTTATTTCCTAGCCTTGTAACTTTTTTAAACATATGGGATGAAAGCTTTGAACCCCAGATCTCTCTTTTACAACATTAATAGCCATCAACACTGTATTTGGGAAATTCTGTTAAGGTAATCCTGTGAAGGGTCTCTGGCAGGTGATACTACTGGGCACAAGGCACACAGTTCCCACAAGTCTCTTCTCTGCCATGGCTAAATTGTTCTTTTTTTAAAAAGCTTTTAATGGTCTGGATGGTGTAGCAGCAAGCCAGAGTCTGTCCCACTACTCCAGCAATGGAAAGCTATGGAACAAACACAGGGTTGTAAATCAGAAGAACAGAGTGACTTCATCACTTATGTCTACATTTTTTAAAAGTTCGGTAATTTTAGGTGTCTAGAACTCTGGGTGTCTTATTTTGAAACAACGTGGGCCTGCTTTTCAGAATAGCAGAGCATCCACAACTACAACTGAAGTCAGTGAGGAGCAGCTGCTTCTCAAAACCTCTGGAAATCAGGCCCTAGGTGACTTGAGATAAATTCCCAAAAGCATGGACATTTTTGCAAAGTTGTACCTTAAGTTTTCCCCACCTGTAAAATATGTAATAATATCCACCTTTTGTAAAGCGCCTTGAGATCTAAGAATGAAAAGTGCTATATATGTGGAAAGTATTATTGTATAGGCAGGAAAGTCTCTCACAACCTCAGAACATATATAATTCTCAAAAGGAGAGCAGGCAAACTACTAAATCTCACAAAAGTCCTGCAAGAATCAAATCAAGGAGTGTCCTACAGCCTCAGCATATAAACAAGCAGACAAATCTCTGAGGACTCCAGTAATGAGAACAGAAAAGTCTCCCACAGCCCCACACAAGGAACAAACAAACAAATCTCTCCAGACTCTGATGAGAAGTGAACAAGGGATTTTCCCCCATCTCCAGCAGAAAAAAATCCAGTTGCATCTGGAAGAGAAAAGAGGTCTTTTACAGAGCCAACAAGTTATCACAGAAACGTCTCTGCATTGTTAAGCAGTTCAGTTCAGCTGAACGTCAGCCCATGTTTTTCCTGTGTTTGCTGTGCTAAATTGTTTCTGATTTGAAAAGCTAGATAACGTACTCAAAGGCATAATCACAGTTATTTTCTAAATCCCAAAGTTTTGGAAGTTCTCAGGGTACTGGAGAACTCCTGATCTCCTCTTAGCCATAAACAGGTGCCCATACATGGCTGAGATTGAGGCCAATGAATGAGTTATATATTGTCTGAATACGGAAAAGGTGCATTCAGTAGTACAAGAGCCATGTTTTTCTATCTCACATTCTTTCTTCTTGAGGAGTAGTAAAACACACACAAGCATGAATTATCTGATGCACTGACAGCACCCTCCACTAGCCACCTCCTTTCTCCCTTCTTTTTCACAGTAGACCTTTGTCCTTGTTTTGTACAGAATATGTAGATTATCTTGCACATCAATTCCAGCCTAAATTGCACTCCAGCAGAGAGAGATTTGCTGTTTACTACTCCTATCTGGTTTTGGATTGGAGGATCAATTCCTAAAACAAAAGCTAATTGGAGAGTTTACTTCCCTTTGCTTCGAACAGGTCAACTCTACAAGTTTCTACCAACAAATTACACAGATACACAGACTGCGTACAACTTCTTCCCTTTGTTGTCTTGTAATAATGTTCAATAATCTATCATCTTATTGATAGCCAGACAAGGATAATTGTATTGCACTGTGTAATGTGGTTTTAAAGCAAAACATTTTAAATATTTACAAAGTTCTTTAGTGCTAAAAGATATTTCTCTGGTGCTTATGTCCTTATTGTCTGTAATTCATGTTTTATCTCTCACATACTGTACACCAACTTTTCAGTAAAGCTAATTATCAAAAGAAAGGTTGGGCAGTCAAGCTGGGGTTCCTGGAAAGTCCTAGAATTCTGCTGCCCTTGCAATGAGAAAACAATTATGTTGTATTAAGAAGGCACAAGAGATTGTGTGATATCATAAAGGATTGTTGCTTTACAGGTACACTTGATATGGCACAACAGGATGTCTGCATTTATATGGTATGAGCTCCAAATTCCACATTACAAAGACACTACAGAAGTTACTGCATTTTAATTTTATTAATGTTGGCATGTCAGTGCAGAAAACTCTAGAGGCCTTTGTAAGAAGAGCAAAAGCAAGCAGTGCGAGGCTAAACTGGATGACTAAACTGGCATCCCAGAGAAATCAGACAGGATAGGGCTTACTACTGAAACCTAATAAAAATGTGCTAGTCGAGACTTCTTTTGCATCTCTCTTCAAATAAAAACATTCCACATCACTTTGTTTTTCTGCATCAGTCTGACCCTGTTCCCAATTAAGTCAATGGCAAAACTTGCATTGACTCTAGTGGTGCTGGATTTGGGCCTTTTAGATCACAAACATGTTTTGCATTGTGTCATTGAGAACATTTTTTTAAAAAACCAGGGGGATGATAGAGAACGTGGGAGGAGCAAGGTAAAAGGGTAACTTTTCTAGCAGTAAATGTATATTTTGGGTCCACTTTTCAATTTTTAGGCACATAGAAGTGCTGTTCTTAGTTCCCATGTGAATTTTGATTCCCTAGCTTTGACTCCCACATTTCACATCTTCAGTTTTTAAAATGAGCTCCCATGTCTGTCCAGTGTATTGTTTCCTGACTTGACTATGGTAGGCTCTTCTGTCCTGATCTTCCTCCCTCTCTCCCCTCAAGTCCATTCGGAACACTTCTGCTAAGATTATCTTACTGCCTGTCATTCTTAGTCTTATCACGCAATTTGAAGTTCCTCCCTTCGCATCCCTTTCTCCATTGGTTCAAAATACGAGCTTGTGATTCTTGCCTTGGAAGCCCGCCGCAACTTACCCTCCTTACTTATTTGCTCTTGTATCTTATCATTTTGCCTCCTGCCCTCCATCAACAATACCAGCCTCCACCACTCTTTCTGTCTGCTTCTCCAACAGTATTTTCAATCTTTGTTTCATCATAAAGATGACTGGGGAAGAATGTTCTCTAACTAATCTGTATATCAGATACCCTGTACTCTTGTCTCCTCAAGACCTACTTCTATTGTGATGCCTTTAGAGGAAATTACCAACAGGTAATGATTAGGTATGGGGCCATTATAGAACACTGA